TCATTTTCAATACTGATCGTGAAACACCGTGAAAATATTGATGTCCGAAATTCAAAATGAAAATTTTGATTTACCTGTTCTTAGTCGTCATGGGAAAGAAATACATAAATAAGAAAGAGATTATTCCCTTAAAGCTTGTCCAATACAACCTGTACCAGAAATGCATCTCCTTCGCCCGCGCGAGAGACTTTTATTCTAGCCAGGATTACAGCTCTATTATGAAAGAAAGCGGTAGACAAAGACATGGTTTGCTCTAAGAAGATTCACTTGAATAGGAAGTTGAATTATGAGCATCTTGTTAACTGACTTAACCGCAATACTTATCCAAAGACAGGACAAGTTGAAATCGCTTCGGTAGTTATACTTCCTGTCTCGCGTAAGAAAGAGAAGAGTGTCATGCAATGAACCTTAGATAAAGGGAGCCTATGGTGAGAACAAAGAAAATTGTCAGGCACAAAAGAAAGTTGTGATACCAATCATACTTTCACACTTGTTCCAATAAGATAAGAATTTTCCGGTCTTTAGAACGTGAGATATATATCCTAAAAGATAAGGAGCAACAGCTCTTGTTGCACATCACTTGAGCACGTGGATTAGTTTTATTCCATATCTATGTTGTGTATGCAATATATGAGGAACAATTAAGAAATAAATTAAGGGATAACTTCTGGGCTACTTCCAAAAGGATGGTTGGCCCATGGGGTGTGGTTGGGGACTTGAATGTATGTCTATGGCAGAAGAGAAGTTAGGGGGAAGGCCATTTATAATTGAAGACAGTTTCAACTTCATTTCTCGTTTGAAAAACTGTGACTTACAGGATAGTGTCTTTTTGGACCCCTTGTTCACATGGAGTGACAATAGGTACCCTCCCAATACCATATGGAAGAGGCTGAATATGCTAGTGTGCAATGCTAATTGGTTTGACTAGTTTGGAGGGACAAAATTTCATTCATCTATCCAGGTCTTATTAAGATCATGCACTTTTGCTTATTACATGTGAGGATTATGTTAGAGCAGATTAGATGCTTCAAAATCTTAAACATATTGGTAGATCATGATGACTAATTTTAATCCCAGAAGCATGGTCTGAAGATGTTTCAGGTAACCATGTGTTCATCTTTCAGCATAAAACTAATAAAATGTGCAAAGTACTTAGTTTGTGGTCTAGGGAAGCTTTTGATGATATATATGAGGAGGCAAAAAAATTAGAAGTCTGATTAGAAAGCTGGAGGAGGCTGCTATAGTTGGTAATAGCCAAGAAAATAACATGAATTTGTATAAGGCAAGAGTTGAGTTCACCAAGTTTCTGAAGTAACAAGATAGTCCCCCTAAGACAAAAGCTAGGATCAAATGGAAAAAGAAAGGAATGCCAACACTTCTTTCTTTCATGCAGTCCTTAGAGATAGAAGAAGGAGGTTGTTCATTCAAAAAACCAGAGATAAAAATAGAAAATAGGTAGAGGGTACTAGGAAGGTGGCAGATGTAATTTTGAATTTTTTGAGAATCTCTCAAGTGTTGAAGACATTTCTGAGGAATGTGAAGATCCAATAGTTGAAGATGGTGGCCACGGAAGAGGACAAAAAACTCCTTACTGCTATTATTTACAATGTAGGAAGTGAAGGAAAGTGTTTTCTCTATTAATCTTGAGAATGTTCTAGGTCTGGAAGGCCTTAGTGGTAAATTCTACCAGCATGTTCGGCATGTCATTGATATACCATAGAAATTAGGCATATCAATTTATGCAACAACAACAACCCATTGGAATCCCACAAGTGGGGTCTGGGAGGGGTAATGTGTACGCAGACCTTATCCCTATCCTATGGAGGTAGAGAGACTGTTTTCGAAAGATCCTAGCCATTTCAAATTATGCAATGTATCTAATAAGATCATTGTTAAACTGATGAATGTTAAATTGAGTTTCATATTGTTCAAAATAATCACAAACTATTCCCAGGCTCGGAATCCCAAACCGACCTCGATAACACGAACGTCTACTCCAAATCAAATTTAAAGAATAGAAAACCTTCAATGAACCAACTTTTCACATTAAGCATCAAAATGCTCCCAGACTACCCGAAACCCGATCCGAACACACGCCCATGTGCAAAATAATCATACGAACCTATTTGAATTATCAAATCCCGGTTCCGATGTCGTTTACTAAAAATATTGACTCAAGTCAAACTTGGCCATCTTAGGTCACTATTAGGGAACTAAGTGTTCTGATTCCAACCCGAACCCTTCCAAACCCTAACTAACCATCCCCGTAAGTCATAAAACAGTAAGAACACATACAGAAAGTCTTAATTAGAAGAACGGGGATCTAGAAAGCAAAATGTCTGGTCGGGTAGTTACATTCTCCACCTTTTAAATAAATGTTCGTCCTCGAACGGATCTACAATCATACCTAGAGTGCTGAATAAGTGTGGATTCCTGCTCCGCATGTCCTCCTCGGCCTCCCAAGTTGCCTCCTCGATTGGTTGGTCCCTCCAATGGACCTTTACCGTAGAAATCTTCTTGAACCTCAACTAGCGAACCTGCCTATCAACAATGGCAATTGGCTCCTCCTTATAACCCAAACTCTCATCTAGCCGAACCGTGCAGTAATCTAATACATGCGACCTATCGGCATGGTACTTCTGGAGCATAGACATATGGAACACCGAATGAACTCCCGATAGACTGGGAGGCAAATCAAGCTCATGAGCAACTTCCCCAACTCGCCTCAACACCTCAAATTGGCCAATAAACCTCGGACTCAATTTGCCCTTCTTTCTGAACCTCATGATACCCTTCATCGGCGAGACTTTTAAGAGAACCTTATCGCCCACCATAAATGATAAATCACACACCTTCTGATCTGCGTAACTTTTCTGTCTGGACTGTGCTGTGTGAAGTTGCTCCTAAATTAACTTTACCATCTCCAAGGCATCCTTCACTCTCTGCTATATAACCTAGCCTCGCCGGACTCAAACCACCCGATGGGCAAACGACATCGCCAACCATTTAAAGCCTCAAATAGAGCCATCTCGATGCAGGACTGATAAATGTTGTTATAAGAAAACTCGGCCAAGGGCAAGAATCTATCCCATTGCCCTCCGAAGTCAATAACACATGATCTAAGCATATCCTCTAGAATCTGAACTGTCCACTCCAACTGCCCGTCAGTCTGCGGATGAAAGGTTGTACTAAGCTCTACGCGGGTACCCAAATAACTCTGTACTGCTCTCCAGAAATGCGAAGTGAACGGGGGGCCTCTATCTCATATGATAGAAACAGGCACACCACGCAATCGTACAATCTCCTAAATGTAAATCTAGGCCAACCTCTCGAAAGAGTAAGTAGTCACCACCGGAATAAAGTGTGCCGACTTGGTCAACCTATCGACGATGACCCAAACATCATCAAACTTCCTCAACATCTGCGGCAACCCAACTACGAAGTCCATAGTGATGCACTCCCACTTCCACTCTAGTATAACCATCTGCTGGAGTAGGCCACCTAGCCTCTGGTCCTCACACTTAACCTGCTGGCAATGTAGACATTTCGCTACATACTCAACTATGTCCTTCTTCATCCGCCACCACCAATAATGCTGCCTCAGGTCTCGATACACCTTTGTAGCTCCTAGATGAATGGAACACCGAGAACTGTGTGCCTCCTCTAGAATCTTCTCCCTCAAGCCATGAACATTAGGAACACATAAGCGACCCTGGAGTCGCAGAACACCATCCTCTCCAATAGTAACCTCCGTGGCACAATCCTGTAGTATTGTCTCTCTAAGAACCAACAAGTGCGGATCATCGTACTGACAAGCCTTGATCGGCTTAAGTAATGAAGATTGAGCCACAACACATGCAAGAACTCGACTGGGCTTTGAAATATCCAACCTCACAAGTCTGTTAGCTAAGGACTGAATGTTGAAAGCCAATGGCCTCTCCTCAGCCAAAATGAATGCCATAGTCTCGACCTTTCTGTTCAAGGCATTTGTAAACACAGAATGCCTTGCCCGGATGGTGAAGTATGGTAATATCATAGTCCTTCAGTAATTCAAGCCACTTGCGCTGCCTCAAATTAAGGTCCCTCTACTTAAATAAATACTGCAAGTTGTGATGATCGGTGTAAACCTCACAGGACACCCCATAGAGATAATGCCTCCAGATTTTGAGAGCATGAACTATCGCAGCCAACTCCAAATCATGTACGGGGTTATTCTTCTTGTGGGGCTTCAGCTGAGGTGAATCATATGCAATAACTAGCCCCTCCTGCATCAATACACAACCCAAGCCAATGCATAAAGCATTGCAATACACAGTATACATTCTTGAACTGGAGGGCAACACTAACACCGGTGTTGTAGTCAACGTAGTCTTAAGCTTCTGAAAGCACGCCTCACAATCATCGGACCATTTGAACGGATACCCTTCTGGGTCAATCTAGTCAAGGGTGTTGCAATAGACAAGAATCCCTCCATAAATCGACGATAATAACATGCTAACCCGAAGAAACTCCTGATCTCGATCGATGTGGTGGGATGAGGCCAACTCTGGACTACCTCGATCTTCCTGGGATCCACCTTAATACCCCCACCTGATACAACATGCCCCAAGAAAGACATGGAATCCAACCACAACTCACACTTGGAGAACTTAGCATATAGCTTCTCTTCCCGCAAGGTCTGAAGCACTAACCTCAAATGTCTCATGCTCCTCCATACTATGCGAGTAGATCAATATGACATCAATAAAGACAATGACAAATGAGTCAAGATACGGCCTGAACACCCGATTCATCATATCCATAAACTTCGTCGGGGCATTAGTAAAGTCGAAGGACATCACTAAAAACTTATAGTGCCCATACCTGTTTTGAAAAGTCCTCTTCGTTACATCTGAAGCACGAATCTCCATCTGATGATACCTAGATATCAAGTCAGTCTTAGAGAACACCCTTGCACCCTGCAACTGGTCAAACAAGTCACCAATGCGGTTGTACTTCAGACTCTGAGAGCCAGCCAGTTGTATGCTAAATTTTCAAAGTGCGAGTTTTTGTTGGATTTAGTCGCTTTCTTGCGGCACATTGTATCAGTAGAGGGCATTTAGGTAGATTCTAAGAAGATTGAGGCAGTTCAGAACTGGCCTAGACCCACTTCAGCTACAGAGATCAGGAGTTTCTTGGGTTTGGCGGGCTATTACCGTCGATTTGTGAAGGGGTTTTCATCTATAGCAGCCCCGTTGACCAGGTTGACCCAGAAGGGTGCCCTGTTCAGATGGTCAGACGAGTGTGAGGCGAGCTTTCTGAAGCTATGTGGATTACAATGACTTCAAAGGCTTTTACATCACTGATACAAAAGATAAGGAATAATTGCCAACTGCTACAATGTGATCCTTCTAGGGTGTACAAAGGTTTCATGGGCTTATAGAGTTGCCCTTAGGGAATTTAAAGAACAAAAAATGAAATCAACCAACAACTCAATAGTCATCCCCGGAATCTCCTCCCAAGCTCTCCTCATCCGGATTTTCTTCAGGATCTTCCTCGAATTCTTCCTTGACATCATCATGATTATACTCTACATCTTCTTCCAGATCCTTCTATAGTTCTTCCTCATACTCAATCTGTATGTATTCTACCATCTAGTTGTCATCATCAGGCGGCGGTGGCATGTGATCAATAGATCCTGGGAATACCTATTGGTGCCTGGCAAGGGTGACGAGATAGTGAGGTAGGATCTCGTAGTATACTTGCAAGGCTGCTCTTGAGTTTTGCAACCCGGCTAATACTTCCCTACTGGGCTTGTCCAGTTGATCTTCTTCAGTAACCCATACAAAATACTTAAGAGTACACCATGCGTTTTTCACCATACCCATCGTGATCAGGTCACTCCACTCATCTTGAAGCCGTCTTTCCCTCAGAATTGGAGCTTGTCCATTGTAGTCGTCCTCATACAAAGCCATTCGATACCAAAGAGGTACGTCGGGAACCAATCCAAAATGCCTCAGGACTCTCAGTGATGCATATGGATGGATCCCTTCCAGTCCTATCAACTCTATGAAATATTTCTCCAGGCCTCTCACAATTGCTCTACCACTTAGCCAAGAAAAGCTTCTAGTTAATGAACTCTTTGGTTAGGTGGGTCAAAGTTCCCGCCATTCTTTGTGACCGTGTGGTGTGGCCCAGTATCATCCACTTTTCGTGACTGCAGATTATATTGCTAGTGCTGACAAAAAAATCGATGGTCAGCTCCCTTTGGCAGAAATTCTCTGTAGCCCATATTTTCAACAGCAAGTTGCGGCCTTAAAAGAAATCATACCCACTTGAACATGCCAATAGTGCCATGAACATTTATGCCAAAAGCATCTAAACAAGAGTGACCCGCAAATTCCATCGGAATGTGGCCAGAATCAAAGGTAGTATATTGATATTGATTCGCCCCTTCCGTTGTGGGAAAACCAAAAGTCCCAACAATGCTATAGGGAAGGTCAAGAGGCGAAGGCTCTCCCATGTTGCCTTGTCACATTAAAACTCATCAAGATGCAAATCGTAGCTTTCTCGATGCCCAAATCTATCAAACAAAGAGTCTAGGATTACACACCGGTCTTCGACACTTCTCTAGTTCCTGTCACTCTTCAATATTTGTGCGTAGAGAAACCCGTGACCCGGCATGATGACTGGTAATATAGGCTTCCATCCGACGAATGGCAATTCAGTAAAATTAGTAATTTCCTCAGGCATTGGTGTCAGCTCATAGTTGATAAACTTGAAAAACACCTTGGCAGGATCCCAAAACTCTATCAACAACCTGGTAAGCACTCCATTAGCTCGAATGTTCATCAGTGCTCCGAGATGTGACTTGATTCCATCTCCATGTTCTTGTCAGATATTTCTCCACCACTGTTTTAGCTTTTGGGGTGCTCCCATGATTATGCTAATTTTCGGGATGTTGTGGTTGATTTCCATATAAAAGGGGAGAAAAGGCTAGGCAAGTGTTTTGCTTCGAATCCTTGGTATCTTAATTTGGATTAATTTATCATTCCATAGAAGGTATGTTATTAGGTGCATGACCTGTTGACATTAGGGTGGCTTTCCTACTTGTGAGTCAATTCCGAGGATCGACTCAACTAAGGTGTATGAAGCATGCCATACGTTTGCTAAGAGTAGAGTGTTTCCTAAATTTTGGAGTTGGACTGAATAACTGTAGAACGATTTGTCAGTTGACCACATACTGCTTTGTCTACAACGTCGGTGTTGGTGTTGCCCACAGGTTCAGAATCTTATACGATATATTATGATGCGTCCCGTGTTGGGCTCGATGCGGTATTGATGCAGGAGGGCAGGGTGATTGCGTATGCGTCGCGGCAGTTGAAGGTTCATGAGAAGAATTACCCTGCCATGACTTAGAGTTGGCAGCCATTGTTCATGCGCTGAAGATTTGGAGGCACTATCTTTACGGCGTGTCGTGTGAGGTCTTCACGGATCATCGAAGCCTTCAGTATTTGTTCAAGCAAAAGGATCTCAATTTGAGGCAGAGGAGGTGGTTGGAGTTATTGAAAGACTATGATATCACTATCTTGTATCATCCCGGAAAGGCCAATGTGGTGGCCGACGCCTTGAGTAGAAAGGCATCGAGTATGGGAAGCCTTGCGTTCATTCCAGTCGATGAGAGGTCATTTGCATCAGATGTTCAGACTTTAGCCAACCAGTTTATGAGGTTGGATATTTCAGAGCCCAGGCGTGTTCTAGCTTGTATAGTCACTCGGTCTTCTTTGTTTGAGCGCATCAGAGATCGACAGTATGACGACCCTCATTTATTGGTCCTTAGGGACATAGTGCCGCACGGTGGTGCCAAGCAGGTTACTATTGGAGCTGACGGAGTCTTGGGGATGCAGGGTCGTGTTTGTGTGCCTAGTGTGGATGGACTTCGTGAGTGGATTCTTGAGGAGGCCCACAGTTCCCGGTATTCTATTCATTCAGGCACCGCCAATATGTATCAGGACCTGCGGCAGCATTATTGGTGGATCAAGAAGGATATAGTTGCTTATGTAGCTCGGTGTCTAAATTGGTAGCAAGTAAAGTATGAGCATCAGAGACCCGGTGGTTTGCTTCAGAAGATAGAGATTCCTGAGTGGAAGTGGGAGCGTATCACTATGGATTTCGTTGTTGGACTCCCACAGACTCAGAGGAAGTTCAACGCAGTTAGGGTCATTGTGGATAGGCTGACTAAGTCAGCGCATTTCATTCCTCTGGCAGTTACCTATTCTTCAGAGCGGTTGGCAGAGATCTACATCCACGAGATCATCCGTCTTCAAGGTGTGCCCGTGTCTATCATTTCTGATCAAGGTACGCAGTTTACCTCGCACTTATGGAGGGCAGTAAAGCATGACACGCGCGTTAAGTTAAGCACAATATTTCATCCTCAAACGCACGGACAATCCGAGCGCACTATTCAGATATTGGAGGAAATGCTTCGCGCATATGTTATAGACTTCGGGGGATCATGGGATCAGTTCTTGCCCCTTGTAGAGTTTGCATACAATAATAGCTACTAGTTGAGCATTCAGATGGCTCCCTATGAGGCATTATATGGTAGACAATGTCGATCGCCGATTGGATGGTTTGAGCCAGGGGAGGCTTGGGTATTGGGTATTGGGTACAGATTTGGTACAGGATGCCTTGGATAAGGTCAAGGTTATTCAGGATCGACTTCGCACAGCTCACTCCAGGCAGAAGAGTTATGCCGACCGTAGAGAAAGTGTTGCTCCGGGTATCACCCATAAAGTGTGTCATAAGGTTCGGAAAGAAGGGCAAGTTGAGCCCTAGGTATATCGGGCCCTTTGAGATTCTGGAGAGAGTGGGAGAGGTGGCTTATAGGTTTGCGTTCCCACCGGGGTTATCATCAGTTCATTTGGTATTCCATGTGTCCATATTTCGGAAGTATCACGGTGATCCATCTCATGTCTTAGATTTCAGTTCAGTCCAGTTGGACAAGGATTTGACTTAGGAGGAGGAGCTAGTGGCTATTCTAGCCTGGCAGGTTCATCAGTTGAGGTCGAAGAGTTATCCTTCAGTCCGAGTGCAGTGGAGAGGTTAGCCCGTCGAGGCAGCTACTTAGGAGTCCGAGTCGGACATGCGGAGTAGATATCCCCACCTTTTCACCAGTTCAGGTACTTTTCTATGTCCGTTCGAGGACGAACGGTTGTTTTAGAGGTGGAGAATGTGATGACCCGATAGGTCATCTTATGTTTTAAAACCTAATTCTATGATCCGAAGCCTTACAAATCTCATTTTGTTACCCTCCTCGATTTGCGTGCGCAGTCCGTGCATGTTTACGGAAAGCTTTTATGTTAAAATCTGATAAAAATAAGACTTTTGCCTTAAAAAATTCATTTAAGTTGACTTCGATCAATATTTTGGGCAAACGGTCCCGGTGGGTTCGTATTGTAATTTGGGACCTGGGCGTATGCCCGGAATCGAATTCGGAGGTCCCTAGCTCGAGTTATTGATTTTTGTTGAAAAATTAAAAGTTTGAAAGTTTTATAGTTTTTAAGGATCGACTGATGTTTAGATTATTGATACCAGGTCCGTATTTTAGTTCCAGAGCCCGGTACAGGTCCACTATAATATTTATGACTTGTCTGTCGAATTTTGTGAGAAACGAAGTTGATTTGATGTGATTCGGACGTTCGGTTGTGAAAATAGAAGTTTTAAAATTTTCTTGAAAATTTCATTTGATTTGGTGTCCGATTCGTAGTTCTAGCCGTTATTTTGGTGTTTTGATCGCGCGAACGATTTCGTATGATGTTTTAGGACTTGTGTGCTTGTTTGGTTTGGAGCCCCGAGGGCTCGGGTGAGTTTCGGATAGGCTACGGGGTGAATTGGACTAAGAAAATTCAGGTGTTTTGCTGCAGCTGGTGTTCTGGTGCGTTGTGCTTCGTGATCGCGAAGCCATTCTCGCGATCGCGAAGGGGATCTGGGTTGGAGGAGAATTTTTCACTACGCGAACGCGAGACCATGGTCATGAACGCGGAGCATTGGGGGGTTTGCTTTACGCGAACGCGATCCGTCATAAGCGAACGCATAGCTTTAGCTAGGCTCGGTAGGGGGC